CCCCTCCCCCACCTCTCCCATCCCACGTCGCTCTCAGTCCGTCACCATCTGCCGGCCTGTTTGGTGGTGTGTTTTCTATTAAACACTGACCGCGCTGAGAAGACAGGTGACCACACGAAGAAAGTTCCTCGTTCGTGGGTCTCTTGCAAACACAAAACACGCAGGGTCCCCACAAAACGAGTCGAGCGGGATCCAGGGGAACTTGGAGTGGAACCGCATGACCCATAATTTTTCCGCCGCTTGTAGTTCCGCCGTCCTGTTATTCATTTCACAGACCCACCTTCCCTCATGACGTGCGCTTTTGTGCCAATGATATCGTATTTTGTTTTTTCTCGTTTCGGAACGCCGCAATCCTGAAACAGGGCTTGATGATGGAGCAGAGATACGAGCAGCTTCGCAGGAGCAATCTCGAGAAGAACGAGGGACTGCTGGAGCACACTAGAGGGGGACACAACAGCTTGTAGCTTGGCGTGGACGCGTTCGCGAGTGCGGTTAACTCACAATGTGTTTTATTTCGGTTTTGTGCTCTTCATGGCATGGTGTCGGTTTGGACGGCTCGAAGTGGTTTTTTCTATTGTCTTGGACCCACCAGGTTGTGTATCGGTGGTTGTGCATCGTATGTGTTTAGAGGTTCACAGTCAATCTAATAGAGCAAGGCTATTTGACAACAGCCCGCCGTTGCGCAAGTTTTGGATTGGATTGAGTTGTGACGGGAGCTACTGTAGTGGTGAACGCCGTTTTCGCAGATGTCCTCACTTACCCGGAACCACAGTTCAGGGTTTCAATTGTATGGCACCGTTCAGCCGTTCCTACCGACCGTTTCACTGTCTTTTGTATCGGTCCGCCGAAAGTTTTGGCGTGAGACCGGTCGCCTGTGGCCCTGGACTGGCACTGTAGGTTTCTAATAGAATGAACAGCGAACCGTGGCCGTTTCGTGTGTGCGCTTGGCTTGATAAGTCTTGTGTGTTAGTCTGGATTGTGGCCAACATCAGCGTTGTCGCTGTTTGCAGACGCGCACAGCTAGTATCTTTGGTCGCTGAAGTTGGAGAGTTGGCTGGACAGTAGTGTTCTGCGCGGCGTTCGGGTGTACTGCAGTATGTACATAAACGGTGTGTCGTTTGTTGTTGATGTAGAGAGGCAACATAAGATAGAAAGGCAAGCCACCAGGGGTATAAGCGAGAGCGCGGCTCTCCGATTTTTTGTAATCGGTGACCCCTTTCTAGACATCTCGGAACCTGCCAGTCTCTCAGACAAGAAAAGTGTGTGTGCAGTGTCAAATGGCGGTAGCGGCGGAAGAAATAACGCTTTAAAAACGACTCTTCCACTTAATCTGTCCGACCCCGCTTGTTGTGGAGAAAGCTAGCCGCAGGTTAATTTCAGCTGTCAAGGGAGAACGCGAGCAGGAATATTTGGTTTCTCATATCTAAGCGCTTGGCATAGAAGGGCGTGATCCCCATCGGGTCGGGTTGAGATGTGCATTGCATTTCTTCGAGGTATCCGTGCCTACATTGTTCTTCGAAACCGCGTCTTATGAAGAGTGGCTTCGATCGCTGCTTTTGGGCATGGTGGCAATCAATAGTCTAGAAAAATCAAGACCCCCGTTGAACCTGTGCAAGTTTACGATGCGAAAGCGTGGCTGCTGCTCCCTTGCGGACAAGCGGACTCATTGTTACGCTCCAACGTGCTCTGGCGAGAAGAGACTCTTGTATCTCAGTCGCAGCCCGACGTGGTTGTGTGCCAAAGTCCACAACAAACGCACATGCCAACCGGAACCGAACCCGTTCAGTCTTTTCTCCTCTTCTCTGAGACACGACGAGGGAGTTAGAGGAGGAAGGGTTGCTTCCTGAGGCTCATGACCTGTCAACCTCCCAACCCTCTCGGTACAAACGATCACGCTCAACGCATCAAGAGAGCACATGAGGTAATGAGATTACCGACGACCACCCGGTGTTGTGCCTTGACTTCAAGAGATGTTGGTATTGGACCGAGTGACTTTAATACTGGCTAGAACACCAGCATGCCAAGTGAGCACTAATCAAGAAGTACTATCATGTCTGTAGCCCTTCTTGCGCTAATTAAGAAGGTCGTCGGGTGTAAATATGGAACCTTACTGGCAACGGTAACGGCGACAACCAAAACACCAACCGAAGCCGGGCAAGACTGATCGGGTCAGAAGTACGTCCACGCACACGCACCCTTGTTTGAAGACAACGAACGTCCATTCCAACATCTTCAACAATTTGGCATATATGGTACAATAATTTAGTGGGTCGACGCTAAACCTACTAGAGTACGGTACGCGAGGAGAGTCTCTCCGGAATATCTATCCGTCGGAGAGGGCCATACCTTATTCACGCCCCACCGAAACAAGAATCGAAACATGTCTATAAGCCTCTTGTGAGCTATCTACCATCTACTATGTAGGCCTAACGACGGGGATTTCTCTAGTTTTTAAACGATCTGCCTTATGTAGGTAGAAATCACATTCATCCGAATCATCGGTCACTCTCGACACTGTCTATCTATGTACACTATGTTGAAAACGTCGGCGGGCTCCAAACAACGCCACAGCTGCTGTTTGCTTGGTGGAGTGTGAGGTAAGGCACCCCCGGTGCGTGTCGAGCAGGAAGCGCAACACGTGTTCCGACAACAAGAAGAAACAATATCATCATCAGGACAGGAGGGCCTTGAACTCGGGAAACTCGATCTCGCCCGACCCGTCTGCGTCGATCTTGTTGATGAGGTCCTCAATGTTTATCGTCAGGCCGAAGTCAACCTTGATGATTTTCACCAAGGCTCCCCTGAACACAGGGAAAACAACGTTGAACAAATAGAATCGGTGACGACGACATTGTCATTGGTACGCTGTTACACTCTTAGGATTCAACTACATAGATAGCTTAAAACTAATCTTTGAGTGCCCTGAAATTAAATCGGAAAGCGAATAGTGCATTATTTACGGGACGGAATAATTTCTGGAGGGTGCAACATTTGTTTTCGCGGTGTCGTTGTGTGGGCCTCCGTTTACCTTTTGACGTGACCCGTTTTGTCCATCCTCCCTCCACAAGCGACGAAGGCGTCGATCATGTCCGTCTCGTCGTCGAAGTTTTGGGCCCGACTCTTCTGGTTCTCGATCACCTTCACCGGCAGAACCCCCATCCATGCGGATGGCAAGAACGCACGGCAGGCCACACTCGAGGAGGTAAGGAAATCATGCTGGAGACCGCATGTGAGTGACACTCACTCCCCGATGATGGTAAATATGAAAGAAACAGATGGAAGACATTCTGGGGCTAAATCGGCCGTTACTTGGTGGAGGCGTGCGTGTGAATCGGGCGAGTCCGTCATCACCACCTGTGAACAATGATAGAGCCTGTATGTATGATAATGTTGTTGTGCTACACTCAACGTTTCATCTTCGAAGTGAAATGACCAATGTAACGTGAAATTCACGGGGGAAACACAGATAGTCTACTACGTAGCCCCAAAGGCCGGGTGCGGCCATGAACGGGTCCTGACTGTCGATAACGCGTGCGCTGCCGGGCTGTTGAAAACTATAGATGTTTTATTAAATTTCCAGGTTGAGAATGTTTCCCCGTATGGAATTAATTTCGTCTAGATACGCACCGGCACATACATACGGACAGTATGTAAATAGTCCGTCCGTGCGTTCACGTGCAACAGTTAACTCCTTTTCTGTACGGAAGTATCGACTGAAATCGTATCACGACGCGAAATATTTAACATGGCCTCTCTCAGCGGTTAGATCGTTGGCCGCGCGTCCTCGAGAGGATGAAACATGGTTCCCACAGGACCGATCACCGATGCCCCATCGTTCCTTCCTACTTTGACAAAGGTGGTTCAGAAGTTTTCCATATCCTAACTATCCTATCGATATCACTTCCCGCCGGTTGCCTGGGAAGGGAAAGGGTGTGATCATGTAGTAAACGCATCATGCCGCGTTAGACCATTGACCTTGCATCCCTACAGAGCCGGGACGGAACACGCCGGGTTTACACCGGACCAGGATATCATTTTGGCAAGCGCGAAGCGCTGTGAGATATTTGGGAGCGGGGGGGGAGGGGGGTAGTCGACCGCTGGTATATAGAGCCCTCTTTCTCCCTCTATTCTTGTAGAAATGTAGAGATGGCAACATGACTTGAATTGAATGCTCGTTGTTGATTGAAGGTCAACATGCTTGCTTGCTACAGGTCCTCCCACCCCTGGGGGGTATTAGGTTGAGTGACCGGGTGTTGTTACACCCCAAAAGAAGCGTGAATGGTGTAGACTACAACATGCGGGTGGCCGATCAACTCCGGTTGTTCTCTGGGAAGGACAAAACGAGCGAAAGAGGGACTGACGGTAGTTGTGTGTGTTGTACTTTTTTCTACACACTGCATGCAGCAGACACGGCTATATCAAAACGAATGTCTGTGGTGAACCAAAGAACGCCTTATCCTACACTCCGCCTGGTAGGGTATGTACAAGCACCATGTGTAGAGTGACGCAGCGCTATTATCATCGTGCTATCTATACATTAATACCTCTGTAGTTCTCTGCAAATATGTATATGTAGTCTAGTTGAAAGAGACACGCATCTGACACCACTTCATAACGAACAGTGGTGCCACCCTCACAATTTCATCATTACTTCAAGATAAGTACGTCACCTACGATGATAGCGAAGGCATTCGATCCACATCAGTCGCAGGCATCGATCTCTCACCTTCAGCCAGATGAAGCGGGGTCGCATATACTTCTTGTGTGTAAGAATACTTATTATAAAGTATGTGCGTCCACTATGATTGATTGTTATAATCTCACAAATACACACCATATGGTGATGGTGCACCTTTCGATCGGAGAACAGAATAGGTAAACCCATCAAGTCAACCGCAGTCGGTCGGCTGTACCTTGAGAAACTCCGGAAAGTCGATGGAGCCAGACATGTTGTCGTCTACCTCGCTTATCATCTGAAAGAGCTCCTCTTCCGTTGGTTTTTGCCCCATCGCTTCCAACACCTTCAAAACAAATGCGACGGTTTTTCGAGAGCGAGCAACGCGGTGAGGACTCGGGGCGTTCTGGTTCGCATTCGGAAACATCACCACCAAGAGAGACTGGAAACAATTGACGTCTGCTATACGGATCAGCCTACTTGTAGGCTTGGCTGGAAGTAACGCACAAGACTCGATCGAGTGCACACTGCCACACGGTGCACCCCATACATGCGGAGAAACTATCAGAAACCCATCCTGTAGAAGGTACTCCAAGTGTCGACTACTACTGCTGTCGTCTATTCACTTTTCGGTCGTTGTCCGACGATGTACACCTCCCACCTACAACTCGCAGCCGCGGGCTTGTGCCACCGCGCGTAAGGGGAATGGGATGTATTCCGACCTCACCATGCCCTGCTCGGCCGACCATGTGCGCATAGCCCTGTACGTCCAGATGGTTAATATTCGCATACCATGGCAGATGATACAATGTTGCGTAGGAACAGCTGCAGTGGCAGTCCACCGGTGCGCCGGGTTGTGTGTCCAGACTCATTATTTGCTGAAAACGCCGACCACAAAATGTTGTATGTGTCAAGCTGATCAAGTCACCTGTCGCAGTTCCCACACATCAATATTGCCGCTCCGGTCCTTATCGAAGGCGAGGAAAGCATCTCGGCAACCGTCGATCTCCTCCTGCGTGAGGACCATGCCTTCATACCTCCGGCTCAGGCTGGCTGTGCCGTGTGTCAGTGGTTGATGCAACACGCCGTGGATGGAACATGACGGTTTCAATTTTTCAAGAACTCCGACTGGAACTCCCAAACTTTGTACAGTCGACACCGCTTTAAAGACGCTCACGTTAAACAAACTCCCCGCTTCAATGGTCATGTTGTTGCTGTTGTTGTTGTTGTTGTTGTTGTTGTTGTTTCTCACATTAGCTCTATATAACTTCCTCCCTTCTTCCCCTCGCTCCTCGACAAGCTATTGCTTAGACATGGGTTTTAGCGAAGGGGGGGGTCTTTCTGGCGAGCAGGGCTAGACTCACCCTCAAGGGATGACCGAAACCTTCTTGCTGCTGCGCATCCGCCGCGAGGCGTGCGTGTGGTGGTGGAGTTGGGTCGGCACTGATGGGGTCAGGCGGGAAAATGTAGATGCGCGGGCCTTTCTGGCCGTCGGCGTTGGCAGTGATGCCCATCTCATTTTTGTGCGCGGAGGCAGACACCATCAGAAAGGTGGACGGGCACTACACGGCCCTAGGT